AACATTCAATTCATGATCTTTGTTCTCCATGCAAAAGATCATGTGGCATAATCTACGCATCAACATCTTAATAAATGATAGTCAACATATAGAATTCATCTACACGGTTTATGATGAACCATTAAAATATAATTTCTTATGACATAATTGATTTAAAAACTAATACCGGAGTAAGAACCCCAAATTTGGACTATTCAACACAACACTATTTTGAAACTCAACTTGTTTTTCCAGTAACTTTTCTAACACAATGGATTATTTTAAATAAAATTTATATAACCAGAATATAACTTTAGGCACAAGTTTCGAACAGATTTTACCACCGCGTATGTTTATTATATCAACAAATATTCAGAATTCAAGGTTCCGTTTGCAATTGGTGACACAAACGCAAAAAAAAAATATTTTTCCCACGCAAATATTTATAATAACAAATAGATTATTTTCTTAAGATTGTTGATATAATTAATAACAATCTGCGTCAACAAAAAATACTTACTTGTTTGTCGAAAAGAGGAATTGTGAAAACCATAAAGAACGATCAAGGCTTGCCAAAGCAATTCCCTTAACACAATATTTCCGGGTTGTCAATGGTGCACAATCTCTTTCCGATAGACTCCCAATACAACGATCGGTTGTAGAATATTTGCACGAATATTCGACCCACGGCGAACTTGAACAACGAACGAAACTTTGACGAAGAGAAAGAATAATATGAAGAACTATCTCGTAATTGCCGATTAAATTAAGTACATAATTGGCCTGATTCTACCTTTATTTATAGGCGGTAGAGATCCATTCATAGACGGTTGCAATGGTTGGAAGAAGAAGCAGAAAGTTGTGTCTGTTCTTTTCACGAGTTCAAAACGTATGCAAATCAATTGGTCATGGGCCAATTAATTAAATCTTTTGTTTGGGCCCAATATTTTATTATTTAGATTTTGGGTTAACTAATTTGACTAATTACTAAATGTCCCCAAAATAAACAATAGTGGACACCTAAACCCAAACTAGTCCTATCACTGGATCACATCGATCGCACATCTTTTGAACTTTAACCATTTAATCAAGATAATTTTCATTCACTTTACTTCATGATTATGATTAAGTAAATAAATGAAAGTAATCTTTACATAATTTAATTAGTATTACTTAATAATAATTATTGAAAATCATGAAAGTTCCAACAATCCCTCACATGAATAAAATTGTTCCTCCTTAGTGAATAGTTATGCATCGGGATAGGTGAAATATTTCATCTTGAACCTTCCCTAGTTAAAGCTTATCGGATTTACTTAGCCAAGCTGTGATATATTTCATCTTGAACCGTCAGCTGTTTATGTAAACCAAGAGAAGAAACTTAATACCATTCTACACGAACTTGTTTAAGTTCTCGGTTGTGTTCGTTTTGGCCCTGAACATCCTCGGGTTCTGCGAGTGCTTTGGAGAATTCCAGTCTTTAAGAATTCTCAACGAGCCGACCAGGGTTACATTAACATAGGTGACCGCATCTGGAAAGAGTATCCTACTATACCCCACTTGTAATTTACAAGATATGGACGTCATTAAAAGCAATAGCTTAACCTTTTTGAACGTCGTAGGTTGCACTTATCATAGGAATAAGATGGAGTTCAACTCCTAAGTGCTCCATTCATTTAAGTTACACAGAACTGGTTGTCCTATTGAACTTGGTCCGTGGGATCTTCAGTCGCCAAATTAGGTTTCCGTATAAGGTAACTTAGTTATTTAGGCTTTAAACTTATTCCCCTCAACGCACATTTAACTCTCTCGCTAGATAAACCTTGATTAAATGGATCCGCTAGGTTATCTTTGGATTTCACAAAATCAATGGAAATTGTTCCATTAGAGAGTAAATGTTTCACGGTATTGTGTCTACGACGAATATGTCAACACTTACCTTATTAAAAAGTATTTGAGTAATTGTTAATTGATTATTTCTAATATGAATATCCAATTACATTGGCTCGCTACTTCCTTCAACATATATTAACTCGTGGTCAAACGCCCCCACATTTTCCAATATTTCTAATCAATTTTGAAGTTTTCCTAACTCATAGGGAATGATATTATTTTTGACATGACGAGAGCTCCTCCATTGTGTCTCTGATACATTTGTATTCATACAATCATATATGAAATATTTTTTTCTCATTTCTAGTTATTGTTGACTTAAAATCGCATAAGTCGATGTGAATTGGCTGTAGATATTTTGAGCTTTACATAATTCAATTTGTTTCGTAAACTTTGCCTCAACGCAAATTTCATATTAATATTATATAAATAAAACATTACATGCAAGAGTTTTTTTTTTTTTTTTTGCAAGAAACATATTCATTTATGCAAATGAATAGTCCACTTAGAAATGCTTAAATAATTTTAAAAAATTAAATTAAATTCTATATATATATATATATATATATATATATATATATATATATATATATATATATATATATACATACATATTATCCAGACTTGTATAGCAAACAAAAAAATTTAAGCAAAGGCTGTTTCGAAGAAAGATACTATCCAACCTTTTAAAAACTTTTGTACTACAGACTTAAATTGTAGCACCCCCTTCTAGACGGGCGATAAATCGAACCGGTTTATCGGAATATTCATTAAACTAGCGGAAGCAAAGGATCTCTTTGTAATTTTTGAAACATTGGAATGGGGTGAAAATGCAATTATTAAAAATATCTTCTTTTGGGTATTGAAGGCTTTGCATTTTCGAAAACTTTGTTGGATTGCTTTAACCGAATACAAAGCTTGGTTTGGAAATAAGTTTCGAAAGGAGGTTTCTCATTCGAGTGCTACATTCTCACTAAACATTTTTCGGTTCGAGAACAAATCAGAGTTCGAAAAGGTTATTTTGGTGAGTAATTCGAAAATTTCTAACGAAGGCATGAAAATAGCAAATTACGAAACTTACTATATTAAAGTAGAATTTAAGTACGATTCATAACGAAAATAAGTTCAAAAGTACGAAAAGAGAAATGTTACGGTTTAGGGTTACACCACCAAAAGAAAATAACCAAAAGTCTAGCATCGTTCACAGGTCCTCGTACGTCTTCCAAAATCCCGGGCAAGACCTCGATCCACTACTCGACCCATCCCGGTTGAGGATTACTACTACCTGCAATTAAAGGACATCTATATGAGCTATAAAGCTCAGTAAGAAATCCGAGTATTATCGAACTTTGGAAATACGTTATACGTAATATATAATATTGTATACCCGTTCTTACCCACGTTTCGTAACACAACACAAGGCAATCGGTCAAATCACATACCTCACGAAAACACATCATTTAACAAAATCACGTAATTATGCAAAATGACTAAAATGCCCTTTTTATGAAAATCATGAAAAACACATTTTTCGGTTTATCGGATCCGTGAAAGATTAATTTCTGTACCGAATAATAAACCTGTTACGAGCCCGTTTTCACTAAGTGGAATCAAACCACTACACACATCATCCTAGTTGGATACCGGCCCACTATATCCGAGTTGTTTATTACTCGATATTCCATTAATCTTTCAAATAAAATCATTTAATGCAACTTTTCGAAATTATGCTTATGACCCACACATAACATCACAAATGTCAATCAAGTGTCACAAATCACACAAATACTACAATTTACCACATTTTCACAATTTGGGCAAAAATCCCCAAATTCTCACATATAAACACACAACCACACACGGCACACACACCATGCACAATCAGCACCCACACATTCACACATTTTCAGCACACACACATGTAACCAACACATTAAACATCACTAATTACTCATCAAAGCAAGCTTAAGAACAAATACCCCTTTTTCAATTCTCATTTTATGGACTTATTACCACTTCTAGGTAATAATCCATTTCAATCAATTCCTCACAGCCATTAAACACATCCAGCTGCAATTCAAAGTACAAAAATACCAAAACTCATAATTCATAACCATTAAATCAAAACATGAACACTTAAGACACAAAACATATGCAAATGACATGCAATTATCCTAATTTCGAAATATTAGCAAACTAATTTCAAAAATTCTCAAATTAAATCCTAGAACTCCTAACTGACTCAATTTCCAGATTCTGAAATAAATTTTAAAGTTTTACAAAGTTTCGAATTTTCTTGAAATAAAAACTAGGAAAATCGCTTTTTCAATTTAAAAAATCCAAAACTCTAATATAATTCTAATTGATTTAAAAACTTGTTAAATAAAACTTTATCCTATTTAATACTTGCTGAAAAAACAACAGATCCAAACTTTAAAAATGAGAGATTTTTCGGAAATTGCAGTTTTGACCCAAAAGTTTCGAAATTTATACATGCAACCACACTAGAAGTTCAATTTCTACTTTTTCATGAAAACCCCTAACAAATCTGAAATTCCACTTTACTAGATGCAGAAAATGAAGTTGAAAAGTCACTTTATGCAGAAATTTTGGAAATCACACAATTTACCCCAAATTCTCTAGATCTACACATGCAAGCCTACTAGAGTTTCAAAATCAACTTTTTCTAACAAAAATTCTTTAAATCCGAAATTTTTGTTCAACACATGTTGGAAAACAGTTTTGAAAACATTTTTCGGACAGACTTTACAAAAATTACAGATTTGGCCCACAACTTTCGAAGATCTACACATGCAACCACAAAAAGTTAAAAATTCCTTTTTCTTGAAAACCCCTTTTTGAAATCTGAAATTTTTAAGGCTTTTGGCCAATAAAAGTTGTATCTACCCACTATCAATATAGATGATGCATGCAAGAACAAGAATTTAACAAGAAACACTCAATTTCTATTTTTCTTCAAAAACCCCTAAATTTTCGAAATCTTTCCCAATCTTTTAGAAAACTTTGAAAATCGTTTTGATACTATTGATGCCATTTAATTGCAGCAGAAATCGGAATTTCTTACCTTAAAATCGAAGAAAGAAAATAACCGAGAGGGAGGAAAGCTTTCAAGCACCGAAGTTCAACCAAGCCACCTTGATTGTGAAGGAAATGGTGTGAGCTTCAAGGAGGGAGGTGTTGTGATCTTTCGTAAGGAGGCAAGTGGGTTTGATGGTATTTTTGGAGCTTCAAATGTATAATGCAAACATTAGTAAATATGTATGTATACGTACGCATGCATGTATGTACGTGTATGTATGTACGTATACATATATGTATATATATATATATATATATATATATATATATATATATATATATATATATATATATATATATATATATATATATATATATATATATATATATATATATATATATATATATATATATATATATATATATATATATATATATATATATATATATATATATATATATATATATATATATATATATATATATGCATATAATCACGTAATAATATTTCCTAAGGGTTCTCGAAGTTAGGAATATTAATCTCGGGTTTTAGGGTTTTCGGGTTTTGGAAAGGTGGGGTGTTACAATCTCCCCCCCTTAAAGAAATTTTGTCCCCAAAATTGTTACCTGAAAAACTCGGGGTATCGCTCGCGCATTTCTTCTTCTCGTTCCCACGTAGCTTCTTCGGGTGTATGGTTTTGCCAAAGGATCTTAACGAATTTAAGGTCTCGGTTTCGAAGGGTTTTGGTTTTGAAATCAAGTATTTGGGAAGGTTTCTCTTCGTAGGATAGGTTGGGGTTTAGTTCGACCGGTTCGGTTTTCAATATGTGGTCGGGGCTGCGAATGTATTTTCGAAGCATCGAAACGTGAAAGACGTTGTGAAAGTTGGATAAGTTGGGTGGTAAGGCGAGTCGGTAGGCGCGAGTACCAATTTTGTCGAGAATTTCGAATGGGCCAATAAATCGCGGTGCTAATTTTCCCTTTTTCCCAAATCGCATAATTCCTTTGAAAGGCGCTACTTTTAAGAATACGGAGTCTCCGACTTCGAATTCGAGATCTCTCCTTCGAGTGTTGGCATAGCTTTGTTGCCGATCTTGGGCAATTCGCATTTTCTCTCGGATGTTTTTGATGATATCGACGGTTTGTTGGACTAGGTCGGGGCCAAGGAATTTTCTTTCGCCTATTTCATCCCAATGGAGCAGGGACCTACACTTGCGGCCGTAAAGGGCTTCGTAGGGTGCCATTCCAATCGACGAGTGAAAGCTATTGTTGTATGCGAATTCGATTAGTGGAAGGCGGGATTCCCAATTTCCTCCAAAGTCGAGAATACAAGCGCGGAGAAGATCTTCTAGGGTTTTGATAGTTCGTTCGGATTGGCCGTCGGTTTGGGGGTGATAGGCGGTGTTGAATTTTAATCGCGTTCGAGGGTTTCGTGTAAACTTTTCCAGAATTTGGACGTGAATCGAGGGTCTCGGTCGGAAATAATCGAGACGGGAACACCGTGGAGTCGGACTATCTCGCGGACATATAGTTCGGTTAGCTTCTCTAAACTGAAAGTCATTCGGATCGGAAGAAAGTGAGCCGTTTTGGTCAGTCGGTCAACGATCACCCAAATGGCGTCGGATCCTCTTTGGGTCTTCGGAAATCCTTGCAAAAAGTCCATTGTGATAGCTTCCCATTTCCATTCCGGAATTAGGTTCGATTGAAGTAGACCTCCGGGCCTTTGATGTTCCGCTTTGACTTGTTGGCAAGCTAAGCATTCAGCGACAAATCGGGCCACGTCTTTCTTCATTCCAGGCCACCAGTAGAGCTTTTTGAGATCTTGGTACATCTTGGTTTCTCCGGGATGGCAAGTGTACGTTGTTTGGTGAGATTCGGTTAAGATTAGTCGGCGAACATTTGGATTATCAGGAACGTAAATGCGATTTTGGAATCGGACGAGACCATCTTTGGTGATTTGAAAGTTGGGATTGGATTCGAGGTTGTCGCGAATTTTGAGGATTTGCGGATCGTTTTGTTGGGCTGATTTGATCGATTCTCCCAAGTTAGGTTGGACTATGAGCGCGTTGATCGATTTGCGGCTTAGTGCGTCGGCGACCACATTTGCTTTGCCGGGGTGGTAGAGTATTTCGCAATCGTAATCTTTGACTAGTTCGAGCCATCTTCGCTGTCGCATGTTCAAGTCTTTTTGAGTGAAGAAATACTTCAAACTCTTGTGATCGGTGTAAATGGTACACTTTTCACCATAGAGGTAGTGTCGCCAGATTTTGAGTGCGAAAACGACGGCGGCTAATTCGAGATCGTGCGTTGGATAATTGCGTTCGTACTCTTTGAGTTGACGTGAGGCGTAGGCAATGACTTTTCCATTTTGCATAAGTACGGCGCCTAATCCTAATTTCGAGGCATCGCTGTAGACTATGAATTCTCCGACTTTCTCCGGTAGTGCGAGAATTGGTGCCGATGTGAGTCAAGCTTTTAATTCGGTAAAACTGGCGTGGCATTCGGGCGTCCACTGATACCTCACGTCCTTTCGAGTCAATCGGGTGAGTGGAGAGGCAAGCTTCGAGAAATCCTTTACGAATTTGCGGTAGTAGCCGGCTAGTCCAAGGAAACTTCGAATTTCCTTCACATTCTTCGGAATTGACCAATTTGACACGGCTTCTATCTTGCTAGGGTCAATGGAGATTCCTTGTTCTGAAACAATGTGACCAAGGAAAGCCACACTCGAAAGCCAGAACTCGCATTTGCTGAACTTGGCGTATAGTTGATGCGATCGGAGGGTTTGGAGTACGATACGAAGGTGAGACATATGATCTTCTTGGGTTTTGGAGTAGATGAGAATGTCGTCGATGAAGACAATCACGAACTGGTCCAAGTATTGTTGAAAGACTCGGTTCATAAGGTCCATGAAAGCTGCGGGGGCGTTGGTTAGACCGAAGGGCATGACAACGAATTCGTAGTGACCGTATCGGGTTCTGAAAGCTGTTTTGGGGATATCAGATTCTTTGATTTTGAGTTGATGATAGCCGGATCGGAGATCGATTTTCGAGAAGACCGATGAGCCTTGAAGTTGGTCGAAAAGATCATCGATTCGAGGAAGAGGGTATTTATTCTTGATTGTGACTTTGTTGAGTTCACGGTAATCGATGCAAAGGCGGAGGGATCCGTCTTTCTTTTTGACAAAGAGAACCGGTGCACCCCACGGGGAATGGCTGGGTCGAACATAGCCTTTGTCGAGTAATTCTTGGACTTGGTCCTTCAGTTCCTTCAATTCCATCGGGGCCATACGATACGGTGCTTTGGAAATTGGCGTAGCGCCGGGAATTAGATTGATTTCGAACTCGATTTCTCGATCGGGTGGAAGTCCGGGAATGTCATCGGGAAATACGTCGGGAAATTCTTGGACAGCTCGAATGTCGGAAATTTGGGCTTTGGGGTCGGACTCGGATTTTAGGATATCCACTAAGTAGCCGGAGTGACCCTTGTGAATGAGTTTAACTGCTTTGATCGCGGATATGATTGGAATCGAGGGTTTGGGTTGACTTCGGAATTTTAGGGTTTTGCCGTTCGGAAGTGGAAAAATGACCGTTTTCGAGGCACAATCGATTTGGGCTTTGAATTTGGTTAACCAATCCATGCCTAGTATAACTTTGAAGTTTTGGATCGGTAGGAGGATTAGGTCGAAATTCATGGGTTGAGTATGAACTCGGATTGGACAATTGATTATGACTAGGTTAGAGCACATTTCTTCGCCAGAGGGAATGAGAATTCGGTATTCGTAATTTAATCGGTTCGGTTCGAGATTTAAGTGCGCAATTATGTCTTTCGATATAAAGGAATGAGTAGAGCCGGAATCGATAAGGGCATAAATGGGTTCTTCGAGGATAAATATGGTACCTGCTATCATAGACGGGTCTTGCTCGATCTGTTCTTAAGTCATGGCGAACACTCGGCCGGGGACGTTCGGTGGGGGTTTCGGGTAATCTTTCACCATGTGTCCGGGCTGATGGGATCGAAAGCAACTCCTTGTTCCTTGTATGCATTCTCCGGAGTGACTCTTTCCACACTTCGGGCAGGTTGGCCTTGGCGGCGGTGGCGGTGGTCCGGTTGTTTGGCGAATGGGCTGCGTTCCTTTTCCTCGGAATGGGCGGTTGCCAAAATTGTTCTTTTTCCATGGTCGTTGAGTAACTCCTTGTGGTCGGCGGTTGTTTTGAATGTCTCGTTCGTCTTGGGCAGCCATAAGTGCTTTGGCTACGAGTTGGCGGAAAGTTGAGGCGTCGGACATACGAATGTCTCTACGGATTTCTGGTTGAAGGCCACGAATGAAATGGTTCTTCTTTTCTTCGGCGTCTCGAGCGATGAATGGGGCGTAGAGGCAGCCACGTTCGAAACGACGGATGTATTCGATCATTGGTAAGTCGCCTTGTCGGAGTTCGAGAAATTCTTTGAGTTTGTGGGCTCGCACGTCTTTCGAGAAATATTTTTCGAAGAATTGGACTTTGAAATCGGTCCATGGCAGGGTTTCGAGGTTTGTTCCTTCCTTGATTCCTTCCCACCAGTGACGAGCTTCGTTTCGGAGTAGGAACATGGCACAGTGCACGCGGTCGCGGTCGGTCATTTGCATGTAGTCGTAGATGACTTCGAGAGATTTGATCCACTCTTCGGCTATGGTGGGGTCGGTTCCACCGTGAAATTCGGATGGGTTCATTCGGAGGAATCGTTCGTATATGGCTTGATGCGCATTATTTTGAGGCGGGGTTTGGTTACGTTGGAGAAGTTGTTCGATTTGACGTTGGTGGTTTTGGGCTTGTTCTCGGATTAAGTTGGAGAGATTATTAATGGTTTGATTGGGGTCTTGTGGTTCATCGGCGGGATTGCTCGGGTTTGCTCGGGTTATACGTCTCGCCATTATTTCTATATTAATTATCATTAATAAGTAAAGCAAATAAAACACATAAAGAAAATAATACACATACTTTACCGGATGGTCCGAGCTTCGTGTTTCGAGTAGTCCTTAAGCCCGTGAAGTTCGTACGAGTATCTATGAACAATGCTCTGATACCACCGCTTGTAGCACCCCCCTTCTAGACGGGCAATAAATCGAACCGGTTTATCGGAATATTCATTAAACTAGCGGAAGCAAAGGATCTCTTTGTAATTTTTGAAACATTGGAATGGGGTGAAAATGCAATTATTAAAAATACCTTCTTTTGGGTATTGAAGGCTTTGCATTTTCGAAAACTTTGTTGGATTGCTTTAACCGAATACAAAGCTTGGTTTGGAAATAAGTTTCAAAAGGAGGTTTCTCATTCGAGTGCTACATTCTCACTAAACATTTTTCGGTTCGAGAACAAATCAGAGTTCGAAAAGGTTATTTTGGTGAGTAATTCGAAAATTTCTAACGAAGGCATGAAAATAGCAAATTACGAAACTTACTATATTAAAGTAGGATTTAAGTACGATTCATAACGAAAATAAGTTCAAAAGTACGAATAGAGGAATGTTACGGTTTAGGGTTACACCACCAAAAGAAAATAACCAAAAGTCTAGCATCGTTCATAGGTCCTCGTACGTCTTCCAAAATCCCGGGCAAGACCTCGATCCACTACTCGACCCATCCCGGTTGAGGATTACTACTACCTGCAATTAAAGGACATCTATATGAGCTATAAAGCTCAGTAAGAAATCCGAGTATTATCGAACTTTGGAAATACGTTATACATAATATATAATATTGTATACCCGTTCTTACCCACGTTTCGTAACACAACACAAGGCAATCGGTCAAATCACATACCTCACGAAAACACATCATTTAACAAAATCACGTAATTATGCAAAATGACTAAAATGCCCTTTTTATGAAAATCATGAAAAACACATTTTTCGGTTTATCGGATCCGTGAAAGATTAATTTCTGTACCGAATAATAAACCTGTTACGAGCCCGTTTTCACTAAGTGGAATCAAACCACTACACACATCATCCTAGTTGGATAACGGCCCACTATATCCGAGTTGTTTATTACTCGATATTCCATTAATCTTTCAAATAAAATCATTTAATGCAACTTTTGGAAATTATGCTTATGACCCACACATAACATCACAAATGTCAATCAAGTGTCACAAATCACACAAATACTACAATTTACCACATTTTCACAATTTGGGCAAAAATCCCCAAATTCTCACATATAAACACACAACCACACACGGCACACACACCATGCACAATCAGCACCCACACATTCACACCTTTTCAGCACACACACATGTAACCAACACATGAAACATCACTAATTACTCATCAAAGCAAGCTTAAGAACAAATACCCCTTTTTCAATTCTCATTCTATGGACTTATTACCACTTCTAGGTAATAATCCATTTCAATCAATTCCTCACAGCCATTAAACACATCCAGCAGCAATTCAAAGTACAAAAATACCAAAACTCATAATTCATAACCATTAAATCAAAACATGAACACTTAAGGCACAAAACATATGCAAATGACATGCAATTATCCTAATTTCGAAATATTAGCAAACTAATTTCAAAAATTCTCAAATTAAATCCTAGAACTCCTAACTGACTCAATTTCCAGATTCTGAAATAAATTTTAAAGTTTTACAAAGTTTCGAATTTTCTTGAAATAAAAACTAGGAAAATCCCTTTTTCAATTTAAAAAATCCAAAACTCTAATATAATTCTAATTGATTTAAAAACTTGTTAAATAAAACTTTATCCTATTTAATACTTGCTGAAAAAAAAAACAGATCCAAACTTTAAAAATGAGAGATTTTTCGGAAATTGCAGTTTTGACCCAAAAGTTTCGAAATTTATACATGCAACCACACTAGAAGTTCAATTTCTACTTTTTCATGAAAACCCCTAACAAATCTGAAATTCCACTTTACTAGATGCAGAAAATGAAGTTGAAAAGTCACTTTATGCAGAAATTTCGGAAATTACACAATTTACCCCAAATTCTCTAGATCTACACATGCAAGCCTACTAGAGTTTCAAAATCAACTTTTTCTAACAAAAATTCTTTAAATCCGAAATTTTTGTTCAACACATGTTGGAAAACAGTTTTGAAAACATTTTTCGGACAGACTTTACAAAAATTACAGATTTGGCCCACAACTTTCGAAGATCTACACATGCAACCACAAAAAGTTAAAAATTCCTTTTTCTTGAAAACCCCTTTTTGAAATCTGAAATTTTTAAGGCTTTTGGCCAATAAAAGTTGTATCTACCCACTATCAATATAGATGATGCATGCAAGAACAAGAATTTAACAAGAAACACTCAATTTCTATTTTTCTTCAAAAACCCCTAAATTTTCGAAATCTTTCCCAATCTTTTAGAAAACTTTGAAAATCCTTTTGATACTATTGATGCCATTTAATTGCAGCAAGAAATCGGAATTTCTTACCTTAAAATCGAAGAAAGAAAATAACCGAGAGGGAGAAAAGCTTTCAAGCACCGAAGTTCAACCAAGCCACCTTGATTGTGAAGGAAATGGTGTGAGCTTCAAGGAGGGAGGAGTTGTGATCTCCCGTAAGGAGGCAAGTGGTTTTGATGGTATTTTTGGAGTAGTCTATGGCAAGAGTTAAATAGGGAACCTTCATCTTATTTTGGGGTTTTCTTTGAAAATGGGAAGTGAGGTGGAGGAAGGAGAGGGCCGATGATGGTGGTGATTGTTTCGGTGGAGGAGGGAGAGGAAGACAAGTAATGTGGCTATGTGTTGGAATAAGAAAGATGAAGGGTGCCTCTTCATCTTACAATGAGGGTGTTGAGTGTAGGCTTAGCTAAAATGATTAGCATTTGCCAAGTGTAAGTGCATGCCTAATTAAACATAATTTATTTATTTAATTTAAATCTCAACTTGCATCTTAACACACACACACATCATCCGAACACACACATACAATTTCGGATATATATATATATATATATATATATATATATATATATATATATATATATATATATATATATATATATATATATATATATTCAAATGTATAATGCAAACATTAGTATATATGTATGTATACGTACGCATGCATGTATGTACGTGTATGTATGTACGTATACATATATGTATATATATATATTCCACATAATTTTCAAATAATTTATCAAATAAATAAAATACGCAATTATTCACATAAACCACGTAATTTACGAAATTCCATAGTATTTCAATTTACGGGAATTTAAATCATATAAATCACATATATAATAGCGCACGTAATTATTCACGTAAGTAACATAATTAAATTCACGTAATGCATATAATCACGTAATAATATTTCCTAAGGGTTCTCGAGTTAGGAATATTAATCTCGGGTTTTAGGGTTTTCGGGTTTTGGAAAGGTGGGGTGTTACATAAATACACACGATAGAGAAAAAAACATAATATAATCTTACTGATCATAATACAAAAGAAACATAATCAAATAAGCTAATTATTATTTATATTATTTTATAGCTTAGTTCTTGCCGATAACGGCTACGTTCGCCTTAAAGAGACCGTCACATAGGTACCACTTTCCCACGTGCTAAACATTCTTACTTTGCGTTTGAGATTGGGTTCGAGCTAAGAATTATTCTTCTCTTTGTGGAATTAGCTTAAATCTAAGCATTATTCCTGTACTTATGGAATTAGCTATTGAACAACATTCTTACTTTCATTTTCGCATTAGCTTCGAGCTAAGCATTCTTACTTTCCTTTTTGGCATTAGCTTCGAGCTAAGCATTACTCCTCTCTTTATGAAATTAGGTTGTACTAAGCATTCTTACTTCCCTTTTCGCATTGGCTTTGAGCTAAGCATTCTAACATTCATTTTGGCAATAGGTTCGATCTAAGTATTCTTACTTTGCTTTTGGCATTATCTTCGAGCTAAGCATTCATCTTCTCCTTATGGAATTAGCTTGTGCTAAGCTTTCTTCATTTCCTTTTTGCATTAGCTTTGAGTTAAGCATTCTTAATTTTCTTTTGGCATTAGCTTCGAGGTAAGCATTATTCCTCTAGTTATGGAATTAGTTTGTGCTAAGCACTCTTACTTTCCTTTTGGCATCAGCTTCAAGTTCAGCATTATGCCTCTCCTTATGTAATTAGCTTTTGCGAAGCAGTCTTTATCTCCTTTTGGTATTAGCTTCGAGCTAAGAATTCTTACATACTTTTTTGCATTAGCTTCGAGCTAAGCTTTCTTAATTTCATTTTACCATTATCTTCTAACTAAGAATTCTTCCTCTCCTTAGAGAATTAGCTTTTGCTAAGCATTCTTACTTTTCTTTCGTAATTATCTTAGACTTAAGCATTATTCCTCTCCTTATGGAATTAGATTGTGCGTAGATTTTCTTAATTTCCTTTTGGTCTTAGCTTCGATCGAAGC